GCACGCACGCGCGCACGCGCGCACGCACGCACGCACGCACGCACGCACGCACGCACGCACGCACGCACGCACGCACGCACGCACGCACGCACGCACGCACGCACGCACGCACACACACACACACACACACACACACGCACACACACACGCACGCACGCACGCACGCACACACACACGCACACGCACACGCACACGCACACGCACACGCACACGCACACGCACACGCACACGCACACGCACACGCACACGCACACACACACACACACACACACACACACACACACACTTCGGCACACCCCTCACACGCTTCGTGGCCCCGTAGGGAGCTCCACTGAAGGCCCCAGTGCCACCGCCCGCATGCGTCCCCCACACGAATGTCGGCACACCCTTCACACGTTTCCTGGCCCTTCCCGCGCACGTTTCACACTATTAGAACCCGCGCCGCGGACGACCCGCGCGCGTCGCTGGGACCCTCCCGGGGCGACCAGCGCGCGTCGTGGGAACTCCGTGCTGCGTTCTTCCCTGCGCCTCGCTCGCCCGTCGTCGCTTTGCCCAGCGGTCAGAGCCTTGCCCGGTATCAGCCAGCCGGCTAGATAGCTGGCTTTCTTTGCTCCGCGCAGCGGACGACCCGCGCGCGTCGCTGGGACCCTTCCGGGGCGACCAGCGTGCGTCGCGGGGACTCTGCGCCGTGTTGCGCCCGCAGTTTTGGACTTTGGCGTGCGCGGACAAAGGGGGAGGAAAAAAAAGGAAAGAAGCGGGCGCGATTGTCGTGACGGGCGTGCCGACATGGGCGTCGCGGCGTGCGGGCTCTGCCGCTGGGGTTCCCGCGGAAGCTTTCTGCGGCGGCCACGCTCAGTGTCACGAGTGCACAGACAGGCATACCCGAACCATTCACATTCATATACATGCACACGAGGCGTAGCCATGACGCATTCGTGCAAATATGTTCGTTCGCTTGCAGATTCACTCGCGCTCAGATTCACCAGCGCTGAGTCTCTCGTAATCCGACCAATCGTTTTCCTTCGTGTTGTGTACCCCGCCACATTTCGTCACGCCCCTCATACGGTTCGTGGGCACCACCGAAGAAGATAATCACAATTGCGGTGTTCACAACTGCATACGGTTGGGTTCCTCGCTAGGATAATTTGAATCACGATCACCACGGGGGCCTGCCATTCGGTCGAGAGCCATGTTTTGAGAAGGCATCGCCCCATCCCCATTCTTGCAACCATTGCATAAATTTACAGCTCCAGTTGTGGAATATGATGAGGCAACACGCGATGTTATTGTTTAGACTGGTTTTTTTTCCTCTTCATTATGCTCCTCCTTCTCCTCCTCCTCCTCCTCCTTATGCTCTTCTCCTTTCTCCTCCCGTGGGTCGCCCTTCATCTGTGCGGTTGTTGATTACTGACGGTTCGCATGCCCGCAACCAGCCAATATACTAACGATCGCGAAGCGCGTTGCCCAAGCAGGACTGTGTAGCAGCATGCCGCCACGCTTTGGGAACCTCGTTGAGACATCTTGGGGCCATCGTGTGGTTTTATTCGGGCTATTCTTGGGCCCTCCTGGGGTCCTCTTGTGATCTTTTGGGCCCTCTTAGGGGCCCTCCTGGGGGCCCTGAGGGGCGTCCTGCGGTCGTCTATTGGGGGCCATCAATCAAAGAGGGGGGTGATCTTAGTTACGTCCCTGCTGGAAGATAGTTTGAACCATTTGGGGCACTCGTGTGCGATAGCGGGGCCCATCTTGTGATCTGTGAGCCCTTCTTGGGGCCTGACTGGGCAATCTTGGACATTAACCCCTCGCGGATCGCCGCCGCCAGACCCAGGGAGAGGGGGTAGAGGGAGAGGTGAACTTCCTCCCCCAAGAATAACTAACTCCTTAAACCACCTACGCCCGAAGGGTTGGTGGGATTGCGTAGGTTTCTGCCAATGGATGTAAGGAAATCGCAATCCAGAGCCCCATGCTAAACTAGAACCGCCATTCATCCTCGGAGCTGCTGCAACATGTTCACCCAAAAGTGCACAGCGCGACGGCGAGAACCACATTTTGAACACGAGTTGGCCTCCTTCCTTACAACTGTTGAAAGGAAAATGGTTCAGCCGAAGGTTCGCGGCGCTGAGGCAAGAGTCGCATTTTGCAGACGTGCCTGCCTCCATCTTGGTGATCGTTGGGAATTGTGACGACGCATGTGTGCGACGTTAGGGGGGTACACGGGCGCACACTTCTCTTCTTTGTGTTTGGCTCGTACCCCCCGAGTCTGGAGAGGGATGGAGGAAAAGAACAAGGACGAGGAAGGGACGATGGAGGGGGTATCACACCGAGGAGGGGGGTGAGGAGGAGGAATGAGAGAAGGGCAGAAGAAGGAGGAGGGGAGGACAAAGGGAAGAGGGATACGTGAGGGGGCGACGACGGAGAGGTGAAGAAGGAAGAGTGCGTGTGTGTGTGTGTGTGTGTGTTGGGTGTTGCCCTTGCATCGCTGCCACGCAGTCGGCGAACCATG